TAGTCAAAAAGTAACCATATCGAAATGGACAAAAACAAGCTACACAACCAAGACAAAGGGGGTTAACCAGAGCCTTCTCATACTGCTGCAAGTGCTCGTACTGTGTTTGTGAGGCCCACCGAAATCGTCGGTGCGGCCTCATGGCTTCCGCTTATACTTCCATTCTGGTATATCAAATAAGCATCTTCTTGATTTATAATTCACATATAAGCAAGAGAGTGTACACACACACACATATATATATATATACACATACACACATATATATATGTATAGATAGATATATATATATACATATCCATGTATATTTATGTGTATACCTGTGTATATGTAAGTGAATTAAACATACCTTCTCATACTGCTGGCGAGTTTCGTTCTGTGTCTGTGACTCGCCCTGAGACTGCCGCTTCCGCCTCTCCGCTTCCGCCTTGTACCTCTCACACGCGTCCTTATAGTCCGCACACTCACTCTTCAAGCTGTCACATTCCTGCACGCGCTCATCCCTATCCTGCCTGGTCTTCTCACACGCCGCTTTATACTCCACACACTCGCGTTTGTGCGTCTCACACTCGTCCATGTAGCTATCCCGTTCTCGCTTGTACGTATCCCGTTCCTGCTTGTACGTGGCTACATCCTGCTTGTACGTGTGCACCTCTTGCGCAAAACCATCGCACTGACGTTTGAGCCGATTGCACTCTTCGCCCACACGGCTACACTCCCGCGACAGCCCCTTGAGCTCACTCCCCATGCGCTCGTTCTCTTGCGATAGCTCCGAGTTCTAAAAATAGATTTGAAAGAGAAATAAATCCAAAAAATAAATATTTAGAACAGAAAGCAAACAGGATGTGAGTTGTAGTCAGGGGCCTTCTGTCTTAATCCCCTCGGCGTGTATCAGTGAGTGCGTTCAACTGCTGATGCATTCTACACACACCAGACACACACGTGGTAGGTACGCCTACACACACACATGGTAGGTATACCTACACACACACACGGTAGGTACACCTACACACACACATGGTAGGTACACCTACACACACACACGGTAGGTACACCTACGCACACACACAGTAGATACACCTACACACACACACACCCCAAACACACACATGATAGGTACACCTACACACACACACGCACTTATACACATATGCACATATAAACATATGACCCCATGCCATACCTGTTGCTTGAGCTGGTCCCGCTCTCTCAAGCCCTCCGCGTGTGTCTCCGTGAGCGTGTCGATCTGCTGCCTACATACACACACACGCACATATACATATATACACATACACACATACGACCCCATGCCATACCTGTTGCTTGAGCTGATCCCGCTCTCTCAAGTCCTCCGCGTGTGTCTCCGTGAGCGTGTCGATCTGCTGCCTACATACACACACACGCACATATACATATATACACATACACACATACGACCCCATGCCATACCTGTTGCTTGAGCTGATCCCGCTCTCTCATGTCCTGCGCGTGTGTCTCCGTGAGCGTGTTGATCTGCTGCTGCATACTCTCCTGTGTGCGCACATCTCTGCGGTGTGCGTCTGCGAGTTTCTTTGCCTCGGTCGTCATCTCTGTGAGGTTGAAGTCCAGCACGGCTATTCGCTCGGCTGAGGCGGTTTCGGCTTGGCGGCAGTCGTCCAGCTGGGTTGGGATGGGTTGGGGTGTGTGAGTGCATACTTGTCAGCGTGTATTTAGCTGTATGTGGATAGAGGGGTATGTGTGTATGCGTTTATACATACACACATACACACACACAAACGCATTGAGAAAAAAATTCACAGGTACATGAACACACACATACCTATACTATTGAAATAGAGCTACACATTAACGCATATAAAATATACATGAGGTCGAGTTTAGATGGCTGTACAGATTGCTACAACCGTGTAATCACAGCCATCCGTACCTACAAATATTCACGTCAATATATATATATACCTAAAAAAAGCATACAGTACAACGCAAGTACGCTCATCTGCTTATAAAGACGGACGCAAACTGCAATACAGCATTCAAAGCCGTTTGTAACGATATATATCTATATATGACTAAATAGAACTAAATAGATATATAACTATAAATATATAACGAAGCATACATCCCATGCATGTATACCAATTTGCATATCAACACGAACCTACACAGGTATCATTGGTCGCGAGTATATTTGTATTGTGTACTACTGCAGACAGTACACTTAAAAGTGTCGATGGAAATAGATCGCACACAACACACAGTTACAATACACATATGAGGCAAGACAGAACACCACAATACCATAATAGACATCTGCAGCTCAATACCATACACTACACACAGTCGCAATAAACATATGAAACACACAGTCACAATAAACATATGAAACACACAGTCACAATAAACATATGAAACACACAGTCACAAAAATTATATGCAACACACAGTCACTATAAATATATGAAACACACAGTCACTATAAATATATGAAACACACAGTCACAATAAACATATACACAGTCACAATAAACATATGAAACACACAGTCACAATAAATATATGCAACACACAGTCACAATAAACATATGAAACACACAGTCACAATATACATATGCAACACACAGTCACAATAAACATATGCAACACACAGTCATAATAAATATATGAAACACACAGTCACAATAAACATGAAACACACAGTCACAATAAACATATGAAACACACAGTCACAATAAACATGAAACACACTGTGTGTATAAACATATGACGCAAGCGGGTGCACCGCAACACCATGGCACTGACGAATACCTGCTGCTGGAGCTCCTTGATTCTATTTTTAGATTCTTGCAGTTCATGACTCATCTGATCCATTGCCTGTCTAGCGTCGCTCTCTCGGACTTCCAACTGCGCAACGTGTTCGTCCTCGTGTTCAGCGGCCTACAGGGGTTAGTAGGCAAGCAAGGGAAGGTATATTATATCAGTGTATTGCTTAAAAAAACATATATGCATGTATTTACCCTTGATACACAAACACTCGTATGTATATATATATACACACACACATATATATATATATATGTGCGCACACATACATAAATACATAAATACATACATATATGTAATATATATATATATATATATACATACATACATACATACATACACACATACATATATATGTACATAAAAATCCGCGTAGTAGTATACACATACACACACATACACAATAACATATATATATGGAATACACACACACACAAACCTCCTCCCCCAAGCATATACAATGGAAAAGCATATTGTTGCATACCATTGCAAGTTTATCCTGAGCCTGTTGGAGGGCTTTTTGTGCCTGCGCATGCCGTTGTTTCTCTTCGTCAAGTGATGCCACCAGCCTAGTCATAAGAAAATGAAGTGTGCTTAATAGACCGTACACTGCCGTGCTTTTGAAAATAGAACCCTATTTTGATTGACTATGAACACGGCGAATATGGTTCATATAGTAGATAATATATATATCTATATATATATAGATATATACATGCATACATACAAACGCACAGACACACTTTATATGCATACATCCCTACCTACATACATATATATGTATATCTACATACATACATACATACACACACACATATATATATATATATTCTATATAGATCTCTATCTATACATACACATGGATTTAGATATAGCAAGCAAACATAGCAGACCCAACACCAACACACTTTTTGTAGAACATGCTGGGGTATTGAAAAATATATCCTTATTGATATATAGTCATAAAACAAATCATTCATCTCATCTCTCGCAACGAGGGGAGGGTCGTAGTAGCCCAGTATAGATATTAACATACGTACATACCCTTACGTATAATTATATAACACACACACACATATATATATGGCAATGAACACAATATATACACACACCGTACTCGTCCTAGGCAGCAATCGTATCAGTTCCCTCATCGGGCGATAGGCTCCCGCAACCTACTCCTCGAATCTGACTTAGACGCACAAACATACCTATACAGACACACAAGTACACACAAGTAAACACAGGTACACACACACATATACATACATATGTATATATATATATATAACACACACACATATATATATATATATATGTATATATGTATATATAATATACACACACACACACATATATATATATATATATATATATATAGATATATATATATATAGATATATATATATAGATATATATACACAAACTTCCCCCTAGTACACAATACATCATGTGTGGTTCTTATACCGTTTGTTGTCATGAATGATCTTCTTCCTTTCATCCCGTTCACCGTTGAGTGTTTCGTAGGCTCCCGCAACCTTCTGCTCGAGCGTGGCTGTTTGCTGCTTGAGAGCGGCACTCAGAGTGGACTCGCTGAGTAAAGTCTCTCGCTGAACCCGGTTGGTGTATGAATAAACCAAAATGGAGTGAGGTAGGTGTATATACTGTATAACAAGCAAAGTCTCTCGCTGAACCCGGTTAGTGGATGAATAAACCATAATGGAGTGAGGTAGGTGTACATACTGTATAACAAGCAAAGTCTCTCGAACAACCCGGTTGGTGTATGAATAAACCAGAATGGAGTGAGGTAGGTGTACATACTGTATAACAAGCAAAGTGAGAAATTAATAGGGCAAACAGAGTGAACACACACTATGAAAGGATAATAAGATCTATAGAAATAACACACGCACTATAATCCGTATATAATATTTGTATGATTAGGCTACACATAGTGAGTATAGAATACAAGCCCGTTTGGGCTCAGGTGTGGCTATTGGTTGTTTGGGATTGGCTCTCAGGGTGTACTTGCTGAGACAAACGCCCAGAAACCCTAAACTCTAAGCATGGTTTGTATTGGATTGAACAAGTATGGAGTGAAGCAACCAGAATACATGTCACGCACAGTGCACGTAAAATTGCTAACCACGTAAACCAACAGGAATAGAATAAGAACTTACAATTGGAAAGCATAGACAACATATCCTGTGACGCATATGTTGGGTGTGTTATAAGAAATCCTAACTGACATATACCGTGTCACATATGTTGGATGTGTTATAAGATATCCTATCTGACATATACTGTGTCACATATGTTGGGTGTGTTATAAGATATCCTATCTGTTTAAACATATGCTGGGTGTGTAATAATATATCCTATCTGATATATACTGTGTCACATATTTTGGGCGTGTTATAAGATACCCTATCTGCTTGAGTGTGTCCATCGCTGATAACATGCGTGCCACTTATAAGGTGAGCTCAATGAGAACCTTCGCTCACTCCATATGCCCTGCACATACTAGCTGTAATCACATTATATGATACGAGTATATACTATTATGAGCCGCCATGTATACTACTATGAACAGTAACCACATGGTATGATACAAATATATACTACTATAAACAGTAACTACATGATGTGCTACAAATATGTATCACTATGAGCCGTAACCACAGGATATGATACAAATACATATTACTACCAACGGCACCAGAACGTATATGTCTCCGTGTTTCCGTCGCATATATCACTGTGGGTTCGCTCCGTCGCCCGTTTCATTTCATAATAGAGGTGCACAGATACGGGTGTATAGGCAAGCACCGTACCGTACAATTGTGCCTGTATGCTTCTAAGACCTGACATACAACATACATACATATCTCCAGCCACTTCCGGGGACACTCACAGAACACATCTATGTGCGCAAAATCTCATATAGTCTTATATTTTCACTTCTAATGATTCAGAATCGAGCCGAATACACGCATGTGTGTACATACAGAGACATCGTATGGTATATATATATATATATGAGTGCTTGAAAACATGTTGTTTCTTATACGCCTACACACTCAAGGTACATACATGTACATGATAAAAACAAAAACCAAAGAACAAAAAACCTAAAACTCCTCAAGGGACTGTGAAAGAACACATCTCTGTGCGCAGTGTCTCGTATGTTTTCATCGCTAGCGCCTTCTCCTTCTCCAGTTCACTTTCGCAATGTATATAAACATGCACTCAGGCATACACTATGTCACATACACATACATATAAACATGCACTCAGGCATACACTCTAAGCCACATACACATACATATAAACATGCACTCAGGCATACATTCTAAGTCACATACACATACCTATAAACATGCACTCAGACATACATTTTAAATCACATACACATACATACACCATGCAGACACACCTCTGTGCGCAGTGTCTCGTATGTTTTTATGGCCAGCTCCTTCTCCTTCTCTAGTTCACTCTCGAGGTGTTGCATGGTCTTGCGTTCACTCTCCAGTCTCTTGTCAGCGGTCGACAGTTTGCGTTCGAGCTCACTGATAGCCTGCTCCTTCTCGTCTAGCAGATTCTACGTGCACAGGAAGTAACCGTAGTTTATGTATGTAAGCGGGTTAAACGCAAACAAGATGTAACCGTAGATTATGTATGTAAGCGGAGAGTATGAATGATCCAGGTTAAACGTATACAGGGAAGTCACCATAGTTTATATAAGTATGTATGGGTTGTTCAGATTAAACGCATACATGAAGTAATTGTAATTTACAGAAGTAAGTATGGGTTGTCCTGATTAAACGCATACAGGAAGTATTCGTAATTTACAGAAGTAAGTATGGGTTGTCCAGGTTAAACGCATACAGGAAGTAATTGTAATTTACAGAAGTAAGTATGGGTTGTCCAGGTTAAACGCATACAGAAGTAATCGTAATTTATAGAAGTAAGTATGGGTTGTCCAGGTTAAACGCATACATGAAGTATTCGTAATTTACAGAAGTAAGTATGGGTTGTCCAGGTTAAACGCATACATGAAGCAATCGTAATTTATAGAAGTAAGTATGGGTTGTCCAGATTAAACACATACAGGAAGTAATCGTAATTTACAGAAGTATGCGCTGTTCAGGTTAAACGCATACAGAAAGTCACCGTAGTTTACATAAGTATGGGTTGTTCAGGTTAAACGCATACGGGAAGGAATCGTAGGGTGTATATAGTAATTAGTATTTGAGTCTCTCCATCGGAAACCCTACGCATATGTGTGGCAGTTGTGTATTGCACGCTCGTGTCCTGCAACTGTTACGTTTAGGTGCATAACTTTGGCGTGTGTGTGCCACATAAACGAGCGGATGTGTATACGAGATATATCCCTGAGATAACAGCGGCTACGTGCAACCATATGTGAGCAGTTCTATACGCATGTGTGAAGTGTGTAGATGCTTCCAATTGGCGTAGTGAACCTGCTTTGCCGAGCAATACACGTACATATCTATGTACAGGTATGCGTGTTTGTGTGTTTATGTATATATCTGTTCAGGTAAATTTTCAGGTCCTTTCCCCTGTAAGAATGTCTCGCTTCTTCATTCGTGTAAATACACCTATATGCATATATATATATATATATATATATACATATATATATATATATACATATACACATACATACACACATATACATATACACAAATAGCCCTATATATATATATATATACATCTATGTGTGTGCATGCATGTGCGAAGGCTTATGACCAAATCTTTGTTGTCTAGTGCTCACACTTTGCCACAGAATTGATCAAGGCACGTGAAACGCGTTGAAGTCATAACTACGCGGTCTGTGTTGGCCGGACGATGTAGGAGACATCTGTAGAACTACAGGAAAACGCTCACTACACATCCTGTATACATATCAATCATATCTACACACGCTGTATACATATCAATCATATAGATGTATGACGACACATATCAATCATATAGATGTATAAAGACATACCTACGCACCATATACACACCATTACACGTACACACAGTTTACACACCTGCACTTTGTTGCTCTGTTCCACGACGATGCGGAACTTGGCCTCCAGTGCACTATGATCTTTCTTCAATTCCGAAAGTTCCTGCAACCCATTCGTACGAAAGGTTAATTCAACAGTCGAATTGTGAGGCACCCTTTTCTTAAAGGGGATATACATAGAGTTACGCGTAATGGTATACAAACCCAAATATATATATATATATACATTAATATACAGACACATATATATACAGTTTCGTGGAATGGTGTACACCCAGGTGATGGGACTAATGGTTTGACTATCAGTGACTACACGGGTATATACACGCACTATGCCCCTTGATAAAGAGGATTCAATCCCATACGCACAGCCACATAGCCGCACAGGCCTCTCTAACAGCTGATATACAATCAAAACACCTGCACGCATGCACTGGCGCTGCTATAGCTGAGTTCAGGGTTGTAGGGTTTCACTTATCCAGGAGTGAATGCCAACAGACGAATCTGTGGCATCAGAAGGCTCACGCAGTCCTTGAGGATGGTCACTCAGAAAAAAAGCTTGGCAGCGGTCGTATATATCTACCCATGTAATATACCTACCGTTGTACGCGTGTAGTTGGTCTTGTTGGTACCAATGCGTGAGTACGAGTATATATATATATATATATATATATAATCTATATATATTTATACATATAGCAGTAACGTACGTAGCAACTATGTTGCGTGAGTACTTTCGGACAAGCTTCACATGTCACGACGGTACAAACGGGCCATGCTCACCCACCATCTCACGCTAGTAGTTGGGGTCGTTTTTATCAGTGGGCAGACATTCGTAAACAGACGTTAAATTGTATACAGCAAACACGGTACGATATAACACGCTTCGTACGGGCAGGTCAACAACCAATGCTGTATGCACCCGCCCTGCTATGGTCTTTAAATGGGCCTTCCGACACTACTAGCAGATAGGGCTGCATGTAGTCACAACTGCATGCATGCGGCGAATAGGTTTCTTGAAGGGGTTGTAACAGGCCTCGTCCGTAAATAACAACCACCAAACTAAGGTTGTACATACTCACCCTTCTAACGGGGTTAAAGAGGTTGTGAACACCAAATGGGTGTATAGGCACAGACCTTTGATGGTTAGCAACTGATATTTGAGTACACACAGACAAGCTTTGTATGCCACGACCACAAGCACGACCGTGCACACGTACCCGTTCAAGTTTGTAGTTGGTTTTGCTGGTATTGTTGACTCGGTCTGTATATCATGAGAGAGACGCAAGGGAAGATGAGGGGCGAGCTATGTAGCATTGATGTGGGCCGTATGTAGTAGACGCATAGACTGACACACTACTACAGCATCAAGAACAGGACTATCTATTTAGAAGGTGTACCACGAGGTATATTGTTAAGTGTATATGTCTGTGTATATACATAGTCAAGTGTATATGGACTGTGTACATACATAGTTAAGTATATCTGTCTGTGTACATACATAGTTAGGTGAATATGTCTGTGTGCATACTATGTCTATCGAGAAAAGTAGTAATGAAGTAAATACACACATACGAAAAATACACAGATCGATCAGCAAAAACCGCTGTAAAAAACGGGTATATATATATATAGAACTGTATAGAAGTGACATATGTATGTATTGACCATATTACTTAACGTAATGCTCAACGGACCCGATATTGCTATCAGGTTCTACAGTTGTCTCCTATATCGTCGCATGAGACACACATGTCCACACAATAAGAAACACAAACCACACGGGGGAAACGGGGTAGTACCGTAACCTCTTTAAGATATATGTGGTCTATATAAGACGTACTATTCGGGCAGGCGAGATCGGCCAAATCGATACACATGTGAGCACTATTGCGTTTCAACGCTCTTTATTGTGAGCAATCATATTCCAAGCCATACGAACAGGCCGAATTGGACTATCTATTTGGGTATCCTAGTCAACATGTGAATCTGTGCGAGCTGATACGCACACGGACATATGAATATATATGCGTATACGCATATATATAAACAACAAGGCATATAGCCGCAGAGATACCTGACAGATACACCTATATAGGCTATCGCATATTCATTTGTGTAGCCCATACATAGTCGTACTTTAGCTCGCACACACACCTTCGAGTTCTGCCTGGTGCTTGCGTTTTAGGTTCTCCATGTTGAGCACACTCTCATTGAATCGTTTCTGGAACTTCTCCACTTGTATCTGGAGACTCTATTATCCATCGCAAAACGAAGCGTGTAAGGTGGTGGTATACGTGTGTGCGTCTTTAAAAGTGATGCATACTACTGGCCAGTCATACCAAAAACTATGGATGAACGCGAACGGCACAAATGAATGTGCCCAACATCTGTATACATGTGCACTTGCCAATGTACAGTAACGAACTTGTAAGAGCCGTATGGAACTGTTATCTACCTCTCGGTTAGCTACGACAATGATTTATATATATATATATATATATATATAAATGTAAATACATACATATATATACACCTACATACATACATATACATAAGAATATATGCACAAACACACGCACATATGTGAATATATACACAAACACACACACGCACACACACATATATATACATATATATACATACATACATCCATCCATCCATACATACATATATATATATATATATATACATCATATATATATATATGTGTGTGTACATAGATACATACATACGTACATACGCACATACATGCATATATACATACATAAATACAGCTCTCAGTTCACCCCTATCATTTTCCAACAACATTCTCCAAAGACACCTACCGATGCCTCTCTGCGCGAGTATTCGGTGAGCTTGGTTAGCTGTGTCTCTAACTCATTTGCCTTGCGCGTGAGCTTGGCATTTTCCGTGCCCACCCTCAGCTTCTCCTGCACATATGATTTCACAACAGGGTAACGAGTGCACTAAGGATTGAGTGTCAACCGTCAGATGACACGTATTGGTGCGTCACCCCAGGACCAAATTCGTAGACTGTAGTAGATAATGGCTCTGGTAATAACTTTGTATACGCCCACGTTTCTATGTCCACCACACAGTTGGGTTCAGCATAGCTTGTCCTTGAGGTACACGCCTGCGGCCTAAAAACTGATAATAAAAACTCATCTGCTTAAAATAAAACTCATCTGCGTGTAAGCCCATCTGTTTTTAGGAACTCATCTGCGTGGAAGCACCGACCTGTCAAAGAGGTTAACCTTTTTCGGATATAGTAGGGGATTGTATCACAATGCCAATTACAACGGATCTTTATAGTAGGTGATTGTATCACAATGCCAATTGTAACTGAGTTTTATAGTAGGTGATTGTATCACAATGCCAATTGCAACGGATCTTTATAGTAGGTGATTGTATCACAATGCCAATTACAACGGATCTTTATAGTAGGTGATTATATCACAATGCCAATTGCAACTGCGTTTTATAGTAGGTGATTGTATCACAATGCCAATTACAACGGAGTTTTATAGTAGGGGATTGTATCACAATGCCAATTACAACGGAGTTTTATAGTAGGTGATTGTATCACATTGCCAATTTCAACGGAGTTTTATAGTAGGGGATTGTATCACAATGCCAATTACAACGGATCTTTATAGTAGGTGATTGTATCACAATGCCAATTGTAACTGAGTTTTATAGT